CGACACCAACCAGGACTGAGTTTCTAGTGGTGGAGTCAGTACTTAAAAGCAGCATGTACTTGTTTACTAGCAGCGTAGTCATTACCTTACCACGACGAGTACTTATTTACTAGTGGCGCAGTCAGTACTTACAGCAGTGAGTACTTATTTACTAGTGGCGCAGTCAGTACTTACAGCAGCGAGGACGCACTTACTAGTGGTGCAGTCAGTACTTTCTACAGCGAGTACTTACCAGTGGCGCAGTCAGTAACTTACTAGACAGCAGTATTGGAAGCCACATGGCTTACCTCGGTTTGACTCTCAGGCTCAGTCAACCCGAAATATGAAAATCCTGACAAGCTGGAGGGTTGGGGAGGGGATGATAAGACCCGTCCGGGGTGCTTCTCTTGCATACACACATGCACACATGCACTCTCTATCATGAATTAAATAAATAAATGAGATGTCAAAGTGAAGGTATTAAAAACCAGAGTTTTTAAGACAATTGGAATGGGTAAATATCACATTTCTATTGAGAGAAAAAAAATCAATATAGAAACTCTCTTTGGTATATCCTTACATGTACTTAGCAATAAATGTTGGCAAAATTTACCCCAAAATAGAACCTTTTATGACTAGTGATATTTTTGGACTATTTTTCATATAATTTTCTATATTTTCCATAATATTTTTTCTAAAATGTGTATATATTATCTTTACAATCCAAAAAAATAAGAAATGCTGGGACCAGCCGTTGGCGTAATGGTTATGTCACTGGACTCCCATGTAGTTAACCGTGGTTCAAGTCCGAGAACCGGTGGCTTAAACTTACACCAGGCGCGTGTGTGTGCGTCCCCAAGATCCCGAGAGGAGAAAGGAGCAGAAGGGATTGCAGTGTGGCCATCCCTCCCAGGAGGTGATTTCTCGCTTTCTGTTTCTCTCTGTCTTTCTGGCAATTGCACGTGCCCTATAGCAAAAACCTCTTCCAAAAAAAAAAGAAATGCTAAATGATTACTCACAATATATTCAAGTACCTAGAATTGGACTCATTGAGCATTGATCAGCATAGCCAGTTCTTTGAGATGCGTGAGATCACCCAGACTCTGGTGAAATGTAGATTTCCATTCAGCCCATCTGGCCCAAAGGTCTTGCAGCACCAGAGTTCACAGGCGGAGCCAATATTGCTGCTCTGGGGACCGCTCTGCAATCCATCTGATTGAGGGGCTAAAGCCAGCAAGAAACATCACTGGGGAATTTGAGAGAAGACCTCCAGGCAAGGTTACCTTTGAAGGATAACGCCACTAAATCGCCATAGAGAAAGGCGTTCCAGGCAGAGGGAATGGCAGGAAAAGGCCTGGAGAAGAGTGCCCACCAACAGATGAACAGACCGTCTATCCGCACAGGAGGTAAAAGGAACAGCCTCCCGACAGGTACTCCGACACGGCAAACACTGGAAACTTGACCCTGAGTGAAAGAAGCAGACACAAAGGTTCCACTTACACAAAATTCCACAATAGGCAAATCCACAGACACAGAAAGAGGAGAAAGGGTTTTCAGGGGCTGAGGGAGGGACAGTGGGGAGTGACTGCTGAGTGGGTATGGGGTGTTCATTTGAGGTGATGAGAAAGTTCTGGAACTAGGTGATAGCTACATAACATTGTGAATGTACTAAATGACATTGAATTGTACACCTTCAAATGGACAAGACGGTTTACATTATGTGTATTTTACTTTTTAAAAAATCTTATGGAAAATTTCCAACTAGTAATCCTCAGATTTCAAAAAATATTAAATGGGATAATGTATATACAAGCCTGACATGTTCCTCAAGCCACAGTGGTTTTTTTTTTTAATAACTAATAAAGCAATCATTTCTTCTCCCTTTAAAAACAGGGTCGAGGGGCCAGCAGATGGCATAATGGTTACATCACTGGACTCCCATGTAATTGACTGCGATTGGAGTCCCAGATCCAGCAGCTTAAAACTCATGCCGGGAGTGTGTGCATGCATGCCCAAAATCCCAAGAGGAGAATGGAGGAGAAAGGACTGTTGCGTGGCCATCCCCCTGGAGGGGAGGGGTGATTTCTCACTTTCTGTATATATATATATATATATGAGTTGACTAAACAAAGGAAGCCACCACTCTGGTCTGCTCCTCCCAGATATTCACCACAGTGGAACTAGTATAAGTCCAAAAGATTTCACGTTCTGACTTTTTTGTTGCAGTTAAATTCATGGAACCTAAAATAGATCACTTGAACCTTTGTTTGTTGTTTTAGTTTTTGCTATAGGGCACATGTGTTCACCAGAGAGTGAGAGGGGAAATGAGGACTCACCCTCTGGGGGGATGGCCCTTCTCCTCCAGTCTCCTCTCCAGATTTTAGGCATGTACACACATGCGCGCCCAGTGTGATTTTCAAGCCACTGGGTTCAGGACTTGAACCACAAAGCTGGCCATGAGGGCTGTGCCTGCTGCCACCCATTTGTGCCATCTCTACATGAATAAGTGCATGTTGTGCTATCTGACCACCACTGCTCTATCTGGCTTCAGAACTCTCCCATCACGTGCATGGTGACCTCTTGTTACTCCTCACACAATGGAGCTGCATCAGAATTATCAACGTGGACTTTGTTCAATAGCTGATAAAAAGGGGAGAAGACAAGACCGAGCCCATGAGCTGGTAATAAGCACTGGCGAGGCACTGGTGGCACCATGGGGCTCAGGGTCCTGGAGCTGCTTCTCCTACTGGTCTGTGCCGGTGGTCACCCTGTCCCCGGGAGGAAGAGCTTTAACAAGCTGCTACTGATCTCCTTCGACGGCTTCCGCTGGGACTATGACCAGGACGTGGACACCCCCAATATGGACCGCCTGGCCCAGGAGGGCGTCAAGGCCAAGTACCTCACCCCACCCTTCGTCACCATGACCTCGCCATCCCACTTCACCACCATCTCGGGTAAGCACCTTCCTGCAGCCAGCGGGCTAGTGCGGTCGGAGGGCCGGCGTCAGCCCTGTACCAGGACAGGAGGGGTGGTCGGTCTGCTCTGGGGAGCCTGAGGCAGCTCCTGCAATCTGGGGCATCCCCTAAAAGCAGCTCTGACTTACACTGTGCTGGGACGTTGGGGCCATTCCTCTAACCTGGTTCCTATCCAGGCAGCCACTACCTCCTGTTCGAGGAGGGCCCTGGGAGTCTTTGGAACGGCACGCAAATTGCAGGTACCTTTCCTGAGAAGGAGTTTTATCACTCCTCTCAGACTCTCCAAGGGTTCCTCGAATCAGAAACTTGAAAAATAAAGCTGAAGCACCACTCAGAGGGAGATTTGCTGAGGTGTACTTTCCTGCAGTCATTTGGGAGCTATTAGCTATTAGCTTTAGTTCCCCCAGAAAGTGGGAACTAAATAGCCCTCTTCTGGAGAAGGGAAGCCCCTTCCGATGGAGTTGGCTCTAACACTTAAAAGATCTCCTGTGGGCAGATCCGGGATCCCTGAGCACAGAGATTGTGATAGGCACAAAATATTAAAGGGGCACCCACCTTTTATTTATTCCCAGATGGTTTTTGGTAAGAAGTTATAAACAGTGAGAGCAAATTTTTTAAATTGCAAAACTACCCCAACTGTTCTCCCACGTTCACTGCCAGTGGGGACGGAATGGGGATAGCATCGAAGGAGGGTCATTTGGCAGCGTGTGAGAAAACACGAACGCACACTCTTGGTTGGCAATTCCACGAGTAGGATACTTGCCCAGTAAAAATGATGTGGGCCTGTGGCTCTTCACTGTATCCGTGTTTGTAACATCAAATGAAAATAAAAGCAACCTCCACGCCCATCCAAAGAGGAGCGGTGAACGAACTACATCCGCACAGTGACAGACCTGGCCATCTTGAAAAGAAAGGATGAGGACGCTCTTTGTGCCCTGATACAAAAGCTCTCCCAGATGGATCAAGTGATGAGAGCAAGACACAAGAGTGTGTATGACGTGTCTGTACACACGCATGTAACATGATGCGTGCATGTGCATGCAGTTGTTCATGGACAGCCTCTGGGTAAATAAGTACCTGGAACACTGGCTCCTCCAGTGAGGGCTGGGTGAAGGGGGACCTTGGACTGGACACCTCTGGGTACGCTCTGGATCCTGGGCCATGCGAATGTATTGCCTAGAAATGGCAAAATGTTATAACGTAAAATGATCTTTTTCACTTGCCCATCATGCAAACATGTTTCTTTGTCTCTCTTGCTAATGACCAGATAAGATGTTCAGCACGCTGAGCGTTCACTCTGCTTGGACAGCAGAACAGGGCTCGTACTCTCGGCGCTGTTGGCATTTGGGGCTGGGTCGTGCTGTGCTGTGGGGTGGTCCTGTGCACTGAGGGATGTTTAAGGCCTCCCTCCCTGCACTCCTCCCCCCCGATGGCCATAGCGTCCCCTCCTCCCATTGTGACAAGCAGAAAATGTCTCCAGGCACTGCCAAATGCCCACGGAGATCGGGGGAGGCAGGCTCCCCCCAGCAGAGAACCACCACTCTGAGGTACCCAGATGCCGTGCCGAACCCCGTAGTAGCATGAGGAAATACTCAGTGGGTTCCATGGCCAGCAGACCCTTCCCTTCTCTTACTGCTGGTAGAAAGTCAGACTGGTTTCTCTCTTTGCACTTGAGAAATCAGAGGCTGAGGTCACCCTCCTGCTAAGGGACCAAGCAGGATTCGAACTCAGCCCTGGCTTGTTCTAGAACCTGAGGGGTCAGTCCCTGTCCTCCTGCAGGCCTGCAGCCCTCGGCTGTCTTTGGTCCTAATTGAGCAATCGCTCCAAACCCTGAGTCCTGCCCATCTCGGAGTGTCCAGGCAGTGGACATACATCCCGAATATGTCACGTTAATGAGACCGAGGGCGCCGGGACCAGCACGACCACGGGCATCCGTCTTCATGAGCTGGGCTCAGCCGACCTCTGTCTGACTCCAGTGTGGAAAAGAATCACCTGTAATAGAAAAAATAATGGATAAAAATTGGTGCCGCCAGCACCCAAAGACCTCAGCAGATTCCGGGGGTGGGGGGCAGCACAAACCATGACAGGGTGCCCCTCTCAGCCCGCATCGTGTTAACTGGCGTTCGTGCACGCCGCTCCGCAGTGAGCGCAGGGACGCAGGGTGGCAAGGAGGCGCCATGCTGTTTCACGACTCAGCTGTGCAGTACCCAGGCTCCGAGCGGCCCATCCGTGCAGAGTCCCAGGGCCCTGGGGTGCGCCCTGCAGAGGTCACGCCCCAGGATGGTGATGATGGAGGTGGTGATGAGGGTGGTGGTGACGCTGATGACGGTGGTGGTGGTGATGAGGATGGAGATGGTGGTGAGGAGGCTGATTTAGGGGACCATGGCTGGCATCATGGCTATGTCGCTGGACTCCCATGTAGTCGACCATGGTTCGAGTCCCAGACCCGGTGGCCTAAACTCACGCCAGACACGTGTGCGTGTGTGCTCAAGATCCTGAGAGGAGAATGGAGGAGAAGGGATTGCGGCGTGGTCATCCCCCCTGGGGGTGATTTCTTGCTTTCTGTCTCTCCGTCTTTCTCTGTCTTTCTGGCGAGCGCATGAATCCTATAGCAAAAAAACTCTCAAAAAAAGATAATGATTTAGAAGCAGGAGAGGAAATGTCGAGGAGAATTGGAAGTACTACAATTTGTCCCCTAGGCCTTCCGTAACAAAACACCACAAAGTAGGCGGCTTAGGATGCCAGAGGCGCGCTTTCTCCTGGTTTCCGGAGAGCCTAGCAGTCGGAAACCCAGTGGTGGCAGAGCCCCGCTCCCTGTGGAACCTGCAGAGGGATCCTCCCTGCTTCTTCCTTGCCTTTTGGCCCTCCGCGGCTTACGGTTGCATCGCTCCATTCCCGTTCGCTCCATGGCCTCTTCCCCATGCATCTGCGTCCTCTCTTCTTATAGGGTACCAGTCATTGGATTAGGGGCCCACACTACTCTAATTACATCTGCACTGACCCTGTTTCCGAACAAGGTCACATTGTAAGTGCTGGCGGTTAGAATTTCAGCATGGCTTTTGGAGGCAGGGAGGGTACACCTCAGCACATGAAGGCACGTGACTGGCACGGCTACCTCAGGCCCTCAGATTACGTCATCACGTCCTTCTCTTTCCGTCTCGCCTTCCCTTCCCATTTCTCTTCCTTAAGACTGATCAGAAAACCCCAAAGACTGACTCTCACGGGCCTATTTGCTTCTCAGACCTAGCTCGGTGCCAGGGCAGTGGGATGGTGCTGAGCATCCCAGCTGGGGCCATCTGCCCACCCCAGGTCAGAGAGGAGTGGGTAGCGGACTGAGAGTGGGGACTAGGGCGTCCCCAGTGGACACCTGGGGACTGTTTCAGGGGCAGGAGTGAGGAGAAGGCTGGAAGAACTGGGAAGTACGTCCACTGCAGCAGCCTGGACCCTGCTGAGGTGGGGGGGCTGCACTCCGGGGACCAACACTCCATCCCCAGAAATCCAAACCCCACCCAAGGGGCTGGCCACAGTGCATGGGCACCCAGGGGGTCCACCACGGTCCCCTCAGTCTCCCCGAACTGTGTCACTGTTCCCCTCCAATCTCGCTGGAATGAAAAGCAATTCGCTGAGGGCTGGCAGCTCATTCTGCGGGTCTAAATCACTCAATTCCCTCTCCCCAGAAGCCTGCACTCGCTGCTCCATCACTGGGAATGACGATGAACATTTCTGCAATCTCAGTTTTTATGGCAAAGTGATCAAGGACCAGCAAGAATAAGTTATGCTACTGAAACTGGGAAAATCCGTCGAGCAGATGGTGTGTGGATAGAAAGTCTTAGGATGGGCGTGGATATTTTCTCCCCCAATGAAGCAGTTGAAAGTAAGAAGCTACCACTGCCATGTTTCGGACAAAGGCTATCAAAAGCTATGATGTTGGGAACCAGCAGTTAGCGTAATGGCTATGTCGCTGGACTCCCACGTAGTCGACCGCAGTTCACTTCCCGGACCCAGTGGCTTAAAACTTACGC